AATTCAGTACGGTTAGTACAATCTGGGGAATTCAAGTACTCTTGAAGCGCTTTCGAAGCGCGCAATAGTTAACTCGGAACGACTTTCTATGCAGTCTACGCGCTTCATGCGCGACTCGGAACGCACCCTAGGACTCTAGGTGCACCCATGGTATAAACACAAGGGTATGCTCATCCGGTGGACGAATTTAGAAAGCCTTTGCGCATCACTCAGTTTACGTCACATTCGGCTACTTTCGGATGCTTTCGGAAGCTTTCGGACTCTGAGTGCCAATGAAATATGGGCTGCCGTTAGCCGTATTTATGATATTCGTTAAAGCGGTAAAGTAAGCAAGAGTTTTTATTAAAAATAATGGCTGTTTGTGCAGTAAAAGTCTGCAATAATTATTATCGAAAAACGGTAAGAATGAAAGGAGAGGAAATAAAATATTTCAGAAAGCGCATGCGCACGAGATCAGAGAGTATGAAGAAGGCATAACTCGTAACACTACATGTAGTCGATAAGACAGATTTCCTAACCTGAATAGTCGTCAACTTTAACGCTAAATATCTCGGTTCGTAGGGCAGAGCGACACTTTTTTCTGCCAGATTCTTTCGTTTTATGCAAAAAGGCGTCGAATAAGCCTAATTTGATCGATGTTTAAGCTGCTTGAGTGATTCTGTATAATTATCCTTTTTACAATCAAACAAAAATATCACGAAACTCTTGGTGAAAATTTGTCAGAATTTTTACATGAATTAAAACGCTTTCAGAAGTATTGAGAAAGAATACACTTTTTCTTATAATTTTTTATTATATGTGAATTCGTATAAACATTCGTATAAACAAATCTAGATTTTAAATTCTTTATTAAAAATATTTTTAAATTATATGAAAAATTTTCACCAAGAGCACTGACAATTTCATAGCATAAGAAATAAGAAACGATTTTTTTATCCTTTTACACCGAGCATTTCATACGCATATTAATTAGTAACTTTTTATTCAATTAATTTGATTTTAGCAATGTATTTAAAGAATGACATACTACATTGGTGCAGTATGCATCAAAATCATAATCATTAAATACTCGTGCGTGTGTGCGTGCGTGCGTGCGTGCGTGTGTGCCGAAATTAAGATAATTTGTTATAAATTAATAAATTAGAAAGTTACTATAAAGTTATTAGTCTTATATCTTATATCCAAGTGTACGACATACATACTAAATCTTTTGCGCTTCTTTTTGAAGTTTATAATATATTAGAAGTATAAATAATGTTTCCGTCGTTTTTTCATCAAAAATTGGGCACTTATTGTGAAAGAACGGTACCTAATGTTTTATTTGAAGTATTGTCCATCGCTAGCCACGTGCGGGATTCTCTAAATGTCTTAGGGTGCAGTCACATGGAGTCAGAAATAACGGAACGGAACAGTAACGGAACATTGATAGAAAAGAGATAGAACAATCCTATCTCTTTTCTATCAATGTTCCGTTCTTATTCCGTTCCGTTATTTCTGACTCCATGTGACTGCACCCTCAATCTTATTAGAAAATACCGTAATTCAATACTGTATGTAGAAGTACGAAGTACTAAGCAAATGCATTTTGAATTTGCCACTTAATGTGACGTACACTGAGTGACATTTCTGATTGGTTGTCTGGAACTATCATGCGCGTGAGCATACCCTTGTCTTTATACCATGGGTGCACCCAGGTGTTGTGTTATCCTTTGTTTATCATTCGTGAACAACAACGATAAAACGACATCTGGATGCATCCGGACGACAATTCTGAACGCACCTCTGTATACATACAAATAACATCACACGCATATAAACATGGCTGCCGCCATCTGACCATGTGAACGTTTGAAAGATCCTCGCAACTGCTAGAAACAATTCATTATCCGCGACATGACGTGTTACACTGCCTGTTCGTGCAACTGCGTTCCTCATTGCGCTGATTGGGGTATCAATGGACTACTTTGTTTCGGAACGCGAAATGCAATCGCTATATACGAGCCACGTGCGAACATCGGTCATGTAACGCACACACTGCACCAGCATCGTGACCGTGTCAACACGGTACACTGGATAAAACCGAGAAACGGCGTGCCGGAATCAGAATTGCTGTCCGGTTCCGTGGATGGCACTATAATTATCTGGAGCAAAGATCGGAATACATTTCAATGTACCTCAGTATTGAATGTAGAAGGCACAGTTGCCTTCGCAGATTCCCTCCAATTGGCCGATAATATTCCACCTACTACATTGGCGAAGCTGTTAATATGCACAGGTTCAGTCTGCGGCAATGTCAAACTATGGTTGAGAGAGGAAAATGCAAATGTCAAGCATATTCAGTCTATAATTTTCGGAAGAAAGTTACCTATATATTGTCGTCTGACATATTTATTAAACGACAAATATCCTCTCTTGGCTATAGCATTAGAGGATGCTTCTGTCTTGCTGTATGCAAAATTGAATACAGAATCGGACTTGGAACAACCTTTTGTAAATATCCAGCGTTTAGTCGGACATGAAGACTGGGTAATGTGTATGGATTTTACTCAGGATGGTGACGGAAATCTTTTTCTCGCAACAGGCTCGAAAGATAACATGATACGATTATGGAAAATTAGCGAACAAATTAGCATCAAAGAATCTTCAAGTGATGAACTTAGACAAGAAAGTAATACTTTTGTAGTAAATAATAGGCAGTACGATATTACTCTGGAGTCAGTGCTCTGTGGTCACGAAGGCTGGATTTATGGTCTGCACTGGCAGCCTATGAAAACAGATAAAACAATAAAACTGCTATCATCCTCAATGGACAAAACTATGATAATATGGGAACCAGCTGATATTATGGATGGAATGTGGACAGAGACAGTACGTGTTGGCGAAGTTGGTGGCAATTCGCTAGGTTTCTATGGCTGTAAATTTGGCCCAGACGGACTACATATATTGGCACATGGCTACCAGGGTACTTTTCATATCTGGAAATATTCTTCAGAAATGAACAAGTGGCTTCCACGTCCAACACCTAGTGGACACTTTGCTGAAGTAGTTGATTTATGTTGGGAACCGAAAGGGAGGTCTGTATGAATCTTGTATGTAATTTTAATTCTTGAACATTCAGCTATTTATATTATAGATAAATGCAACACTTAGGCACGGTTGCACCATTACTTGATTTTAAGCAAGACTTAAAACTCTCTCGTATTAAAGCCAAAAAAGAGACAGAGACAGTTTAAGTCTCGCTTAAAATTAAAATTGTTGGTGCAATCGGGTCTTAGACTCTTTAGAGATTTTAAACTTTGTTATATATATTTCTATATATTTCTCTATATTCTTGAATAATGTGATTTTTTTTATTTTTAAATTGAATTTTTATATTTTTTTTCTGTAAGTATACTTAATGCTTGGAAAAAATTTAGATTTATGGTCATCTTGATCTTTTTCTGAAACAATTGTTCTGTTTTTTGATGAATTATTATATTTTATATAATATGATTGGTGATTAGATAGACTTGAATTCTTATTGATTATTATATTTTAATATAAAAATACGTGAAAATTATATTGAATATTTTAGATAAAAATAGATAAGTTGAGAATAAAAAAAATATAAATATATATGAAATATTATGATACTTTTTACAGATTTCTCATGACAGCCAGTGTTGATCAAACTACAAGAATTTATGCACCATGGAAAGATGATGATCTTGGAGAATTATGGCACGAGATTGCACGTCCTCAGATACATGGATACAATATGACTTGTTTAACTATATTAGCACCGCATACATATGTTTCTGGAGCGGATGAGAAAGTGGTGCGCATTTTCATGGCCACGTCTATGTTTAGGAATCAATTAAAATCACTGGTAAATATCGATGATTTCAAATTTGTAAAGGCCCACAGTGCTGCTGTACCATCTCTCGGATTAACGAATAAAGCAACGTACTGCGAAGACAATGATGAAAACATAAAAAATTCAACGACAGAAAATTTATATAAACCACCTACAGAAGAAGAATTAATACAAAATACACTTTGGCCAGAAACAAATAAGCTTTATGGACATGGCTATGAAATATTCTGTATGGCAGCGAAACACGATGGACAATTGCTAGCTACAGCATGCAAATCAACTACTCAAGAACACTCGGCAATTTTATTATGGGATACAAATACCTGGTCACAAGTTCAACAATTAAACTATCATCAGTTGACTGTGACGCAAATGGAATTCTCTCCAAATGACAAATATTTATTGTCTGTATCCAGAGACAGAAGATGGTCGTTATTTAAAGCTACCAATATGGATTATAAGTTAATTGCAGCTAGTTCCAAGAAAGACAATCCTCATTCACGAATAATTTGGTGCTGCGCTTGGACGCAAGATTCGGATTATTTTGCGACTGGATCCAGAGATGGAAAAATCGCTATATGGTCCACAAGAACGATAGAAAATAATATTGTACCAAAGATAATTCTGGATATGAAAAATCAATCAGTTACAGCATTATGTTTTGCGCCAATTCATATCACACAAGGATTTTATCTTCTAGCTATTGGATATGAGGCAGGACATATAGAGATTCAAAAAGTCAATACAGAGTTAGAAAACATATGGTCAAAACTGTTAGAGTACGATACTTCTCAAGCTCATCATTTAACTGTAAAAAGACTCATGTTTCGACCTACTAATTACTCACATAATAACTTGCAATTAGCAAGTTGTAGTAATGACCATTCTGTTAAAATACATAATATAGAATTGTCATTATTATAATAATTTTTATAAAAATTTTAGATTTTTACTTCAACTGAATTATTTTTATAAAACTATAAAAATAATTATCTTGTAATATAATAATCTTGATTATAAAAATAATCTTGTGTAAAATACTGAAATATAGATTCTAGGTATTCTACAAAAAAGATCCATGTTTAATTTATAATGTTTCAGTTGGTTGTACTTACTCGACTTATTTTCCAGTTCTTAGTTTTATAAATTTCGACTGTATCTTGACCTGCTTCTGTAACTATTACTGCCAGTCTCTCACCGTTGAGGCTAAAACGTAATTTATCGAAGGAAGATGATTTTACATTTTGTATGTATGATACCGTCTGCTGTTCCAAATTCCAAATAGACAGTTGAATCTGTTAAATATCTTTTATTTTATATTAGCACATAGGTTAGATTATCTCTTCTTAAAACATATTGCACTTACATTAAAATCCGCTATGGTAAAAATGTGTCTGCTATCTGGGGACCAGGTAACACTTTGCAAACCTGCACTGCCCTCGATGAGTTTACATTTCCATTGGGGACAGTGTATTGAATATACCTGAACAATAGCTCTTTTTATATTTGCACAAAGAATATATTCGCTGTTTGTAGACCATTCCATATACTGTAAAGTAACAAAGATAAAAGCATAGATATTAATATATGATTAAAAGTGACGCTAAAAATTTAATTGAGCCACTTTTTCTATCAATGCAAACTAACCTGTATTACATCCACGAATACAAACGATTGGCAAGTATCGAGAGTCTCTACATCTTTTATCAGCAGATTTGCTTGAAATGCTATAGCTAGATACGCTCCATTTCGTGAAAAGTGGCATAAACTATTGTTTATGCGAAAAACTTTGTCCTCGTTAGCGTTAGTAGCCATTAGGAAAGATTTGAAATCTGCGGTTTCCTTGATCCTTCAGCCTCTAGGGCCTCCAATCTCCCCTCTTGTTTCGGTGGTACTAGAGACCTAGAAAAAAGAGTGCGTCATTGAAGGGTATGGCTTGATTGGCTGTCTAATGCCCATTTCCACCAATATAAATTAACTTTAATCTCGGTTCAATTTGCTCTTCATCTTTTTCTAATTCTAAAAATTAGAAAAAGATGAACAGTAAGTTAAACCGAGATCAGGAAGTAAGATATAAGGAGACTCCACTCCGTAAAATAAAAGTGGACCCATTTTAGGTTTCGAGTTCAGCTTCCGATTCTGATGAGTGCGAGTAAGAGAAATGATCATTTCTCTTACTCGCACTCATTATGCGCAGCACTACTAAATTCACGAGCGCTGCGAGTGTCGAGAATCGGAAACGGAACTCGAAACCTAAAATGGGTTCATGTCTTGTAGACTGGCGAGACCGAGTGGAGTCTCCTTATATCTTCCTTCATGACCGAGATTAAAGTTAATCTGCATTGGTGGAAACAGGCATAAGGGCCAATTTCACCAACGTCGGTTAAGCTAACCGACGGTTAATTCCAATGGAATTATCCAATCGCATTTGTCTTTGACCAGAATGAACCAATCACGGTTGACACTTTAATCGTCGGTTAGCTTAACCGATGTTGGTGAAATTGGCCCTAAATCACGTGATCAGAGAGCCATTTTAATTCACTATTGCATCTAATAGATATAGTTTTATAACGTATGTATGTACATACATACGTATATACAGAGAAAAATTTAGACAATACAGTGTCGAAGTGCAATAAAAGGTAATTATATAGAATACGGGCCTCATCTCCGATTTTGATCTAATTAGGCTCATTCGTCATGTTTTCACTCAAAATGAAAGAATCCGGAAGAAATTTGTGGCGCTCAACCTCGAGAACCGAGATATTAAGCGTTAAAGTTCGAGATTTTAGAGGTTAAGATATCTGTCACTGCTTTAAAAATAACAAATTACTGCTTTAGAAACACAAAAACACTGCTTTAAAAATACAAATTCACTGCTTTAAAAAACAATTTACTGCTTTAAAACAATTCTTTCATTTTGAGTGAAAACGCGTCGAATGAGCCTAATTAGATCAAAATCGGAGGTGAGGCCCGTATTCTATATAATTACCCAATAAAAAACTATTATGGTGTAAGTATTCTTATTTGTGTGAATATTTAATAGTTGAGTTCGGCAATGCAAATCTGAGGCGTCGGAGTGCTCTTTTTCTATAGTGCACGTGACATAAGCTATAATATAAGAGCACTCCGACGCCTCAGATTTGCTATTACCGAACGCAGCTAATATCGGACTTAACCTAACCTAATCTAATCTTTCTATCTTTTGCATCAACTGTCATCAGCTTATTGGTCAAGAGCACTTATATTGAATTAAAATGGCGGTGGTTAACCCTTTGCGTCGCAGTGGGTCGCCCAGCGACCCACCTTTTATCAGCTAGTTTTTTCACATTTAAAAATCAGTTTCTCATGTTGTTTACGTCGTGATTGATTTTCTACATAGTCAAGGCATTTATTTATCGAATGCAAGATATTGCACGTATTTATAGTTAATTAATTATAAACAAAAATATACCAAAAAATTACCATTTTTTGAAAAAAAATCATTTGTGAAACATAATTCCGTACAAACACATACGGGAAAGTTATTATTTATACGTTTTTGGGGTCGCTGAATACGAATCTGATGTCGGTTTTCAAAAATTCAAAATGGCGGATCCAATATGGCGGACAAAAAATTGAAAATCGACTGAATTCGCTTGAAACTCGTTACTCGGGGGTTTTCAGGGTCGCTAAATATGAATCTGATATTAGTTTTCAAAAATTCAAAATGGCGGGTCCAATATGGCGGAAAAAAATTGAAAATCGACTGAATTTGCTTGAAAAAAGTTACTCCGGGATTTTCAGGGTCGCTAAATATGAATCTGTTTTCAGTTTTCAAAAATTCAAAATGGCGGATCCAATATGGCGGACAAAAAACTGAAAATCGACTGAATTCGCTTGAAAAAAGTTACTTGGTGGTTTTCGAGGTCAATGAATACGAAAATGAAAATAGATTTTGAGGATTCAAAACGGTGAGTATATAAATGGAAGACGCTTGTATACGAGTTATGTACTTGACAATTCATTGTCCGATGACCTGTACAAAATGGAAGCCTTTTCATACTCATCAGTATTTTTATTTACAACCCAGAGAAAAATAGATCATACATAATCATATATAAATTTATATGATTGTATATACTATTATACATAAAACAAAAAAAAAACTGGAAAAGAAAAATAACTGGATTCACAATTTTCATGTAAGCCATATTGGATCCGCCATTTTGTATTTTTCAAAACTAACATCAGATTCATATTCAGCGACCCCGAAAACCCCCGAGTAACGAGTTTCAACCAAATTCAGTGGAAAGAAAAATGTGCCCCTGAAAGGGTTAACGCGTCTTAAGACATTACTTAAGACAGTCTTCAAATAAGAACTGACTATGAATACCGGCCTTAGTACGCACGATGTAAACGCTGTCGGATTATTTTGGTACGAGCGTATCAAGCAGGAGTATCGTCACTGACCTAGTTTCCACCGAAACCCTCAATTCGGTTTCACTACGGTATAGATCAAACTTGGTGTACTGTTTCCATTGGAAGTAGAAGTGAAGTGAATTAATGTTAAAGTTTCATTGTATGACCAAATATCACGCTTATTATCCATTTTTGAACGACTCATACTTTTAACCTTTTAACGAATAATGGAAAGGTTGGCGATATTTACTTTTAATCTATTTCGTTTCCACCGACTAAAATTTAATGTCAATTCGCTGCCACTCTGGTAGAAATTGTGAATCGAAGTGGAAGTGAAATGAGCGGAGTCAAACGTATTTCCATCGAGTTAAATTTGGTTCTACGCCGAATTAGGTGCGAATTAATGCTTCGGTGGAAACTAGACCACTGTGGTATCGTACTAAACTGATACGCGTATCAAATGATACAAATGGCGATGTAAACGCATGAAACACATTTAATACGCGTACCAATTCTTTCACGATGTAAACCAGGCCATTAAATTATCTTAATTTCAGCAATGTATTTAAAGAATGACGTATAAAATTGATACAATACGCATCAAAATGTTTAACTAAATACGTTTATTGGGTATACATTTACATATATCGCTGAAATTAGTGACCCTCTAATAAGAGTCTGGACACGTGAAGTCCGCCATTATTCGTCGAAATTGTGTGAGAGAGAAAAAAATCATGCTATCTCATTCTAGTGGCGCTGTAAGTTGTAGCTGATTGTAGCTCTACAAACTTCATAGTTTCTGTTTCTGTTTCGTCTCGCCTCATGCATCGTATCATTTTTAAGACCAGGACCATTAATATTCGAAGAAGAAGAAGAATCATTATGATTAATATTATTATATTATATATTATTATTATATTAT